GGAGGAGGAGGAGGAGGAGGAGGAGGAGCAGGAGGAGGAGGAGGAGGAGGAGGAGGAGGAGGAGGAGGAGGAGGAGGAGCAGGAGGAGGTCGTGAAACAATGCAGCATCGCGAAAAGTCACGGCCAGAGGCCTAAGATCCCATCTTTCTGCGAGCCAGATCGACCTGTGATGGTCCCAGGTCCCGAAACTGGGCGCCGAAACTGGGCGAAAGTCGCCCAGTGTGAAGGAGGTGCCACGCCCGGGTCTCAGGCGAGGCTCTAGACCCTGTAGGCCTCAAGAGGCACGACGAATGCCAGACCCGCCCCGACGCCGGCGGCGCCGACGGCAGCGACGACGACGACGACGACGACGACGGCGGGCGGGGCCCCCAGCGGCGGCGGCGACCAGCGGCGCCGCCTGAGGCGATGACCCGCGGGGACCGCCACGCGGCCCTGGGCTCCTCAGAGTTGGGCTTCGGCCAGGTGGGCTCCCCTCGCTGTGGGGCCCCGCTCGCCGTCGTCGTCGTCGTCGTCGTCGTCGTCGTCGTCGTCGTCGTCGTCGTCGTCGTCGTCGTCGTCATCGTCGTCGTCGTCATCGTCCTCCCTGCCGTCTCCCCTCGTCGGCGTCCCCGTCGTTGTCCTCCTCCCCCCCCTCGCTCCCCCCTCCCTCCCCCTCCCCCCCCCCTCCCCTGTTGCGCTGCCGCTGCTCCCCCCTTCCCTCCCTCCCTCCCGTTCTCCCTCTCCCTCTCCCTCTCCCCCTCCCTCGCCGCGGGGGCCGCGGGCGCGCGGCCGGCCCGGAGCTCCTCCGCGCTCCCCCCGGCGGGGTTCTCCCCCCTGCAGGGCCGCGGGCGAGCGGCCGACGCCCCCCCGCCGCCCCCCCGCGGAGCTCCGCGCCGGCCCGGCTCCAGAGCGCGTGGCGCGCGCGGCACGCGCTCATGGGGAGCGTTCTGACCCTTGGGTTGCGTCGGGCACGTCCCTCTACAGGAGGAGTAGTCCAAAAGGGTCAGAAAATAGTCCGGGGACGATTTTTGGAGTATCTTTGGCTATGTCGGGGTATTTTTTGACTATTTGTAAGGTTTCGTCCAAAATCCGCCCGTATGGGGGACATGCCCGACCTAACCCTTGAGCCGCCCGCCCCGTCCCTGTCTTCCTTCGGCCGCGTCCTTCCTCCCTCTCACCGAGCGCGTTCCACTACTCGCAGAGTGCCTGCTCGCAAACGTCCGAAACAAAAACGCCTGTCGGCTGTGCCGTGATTCATCGCAGCTCCCCCGCGGCGGATCTGGGCCACCTGCGAGCAGTTACTCTGCGAGTCGTAGAGCGCGCTCGTCTGCCCCCTCCTCCCCTGTGCACGGTGGCACGCCTCGCTCCAACGGCACCCGCGTTTTAGCCTCGCATCGCCAGCGCAGTCACCCCTGTCCTCCTCCTCCTCCTCCTCCTCCTCCTCCTCCTCCTCCTCCTCCCTCCTCCTCCTCCTCCTCTTCCTCCTCCTCCCCCCCTTCCTCCTCCTCTTCCTCCTCATCCCCCCACCCTCCTCCTCCTCTCCCCTCCTCCCCTCCTCCTCCTCCTCCTCCTCCTCATCTATCCTCATCCTCATCCTCCTCCTCCTCCTCCTCCTCCTCCTCCTCCTCCTCCTCCTCCTCCTCCTCCTCCGCCCAGCCGCGGACGCAGCGAGCGCGCGCGCGCGCCCCCACCCAGAGCGCTGCGGAGTGCGCGCCGCGCTGTCCTTGGGAGGTCTTGGGCGCCCGGGGGCCGCTCCAGGGGGCCGCGCCCCCTCCGAGGGAGGCTCCTCGGGCAGCGCCGAGGTCGGGGAGCGGCGTCGGTGCGCGGGGAGAGGCTCGAGGCTCTCGAGGAAGAAAGAACGCCCTAAGCGTAAACTTTTGGTGCTCCGCGCGGATTTCTTGGATCCGCGCTGGGCCACCCCAGCGGCGCCTCCGGCGCCGCCCTTGGGGGGGGGGGTCCAGCGCAGATCCAAGAAATCCGCGCGGAGCGCCAAGAGTTGGTGTTCATGGCGTTTTTTTCTTCTCCTGGGTTCGGTGTTCGAGGTTTTCGAACGTTTTCGTCGGGACTCGGCGGTTTGCCAGCCTCGGGATGCCTTCCAGCAGCTGCGCCTCGCCGAGAGCGCTCCGGGGGTGCCGCAACCCTTCCCAGCGGCCGCCAGAGAGCCGAGTGATGACCCGAAATCCAGGGGGCAGCGGCAGGGAACGTGTGTCGCGCCGCCCGTTCTGGCCCACCATTCCTTGGCGCGACACCCTGGCCGCGTCCCCGTCCCCAACCATCAACATCCCGATCTTTGCCCAGTCTCCCACTCCGCGGAGCGGAGCGATGCGCTATCATCTGGAGGGACAACTAGACACAGCTGCAAATAAACGTCGATGTCCAGGAGCGTGTGGGAAACTGGGAAATCGAGAGGGCATCCAGGAATTATGGAGAGACATGGGGAATCCTGGAACGTGTGTCTACTCAATTTGTGTCTCTCTGGGCCCCTTGACATCAACTCTCAGGGCACAGCGTGTCGTCGGGG